AGAATCTGAGAACACAACGCCTGATACTTGCACACGCTGCCTTCACTAGCCACCGAAAGCCCGGACTACCACCCTACGACGTGCGCACCCTTTTCTATTGTGTTTGATAAAACATTAATGAGGGGGTAAAAACACAGAGGAAGTGAGAGCTTCAGGGTGTCTTAGTTCAGAGTCCACAACATGTGCTCCTCAAGGACAAGGCTCAAAAGCTAACTGTGATAAAGTAAAAAGTGGTGAAAAAAATCAGAGGCACTCTGATGGAATTAGAATAAAAGTCCTTAGCTCACCGTGTTATCCTTTTAATGTTTTGAAAATGCTATATTCACCAAAAACAATGCCCCAGACCTGAACTACATTTCCAAGGACCTGCCCACACTTGTGCAGAGCCACTTTCCTGTAGCATTGTCATGATAATGAAATTTCTCGATTTCGATACCAAAAAACACTCTTTATTTAGACAATTTTAAATGGTAGTACTTTTTTATATTCCCATGTGGCCTTCATATATGTGTGTAATCCTTCAATGGTCCACTAGGTTCCATAGTTCTCCATGGACCTATACTAAAATATACTTGTTCTGATACAGCTCAAGATCATTCTAAAGACATTCAGAAAAGATTAATTTGTGTCCTGTGAATGTGGATTTTTTTTTGATTGCTACACAAATGAGTATCTAGTTTGGATACTAGTTTTAGTATTGATTAGAATTAGAATTACCAGCACTAAAGAGGCAGCCTTTCACCATTAGGACTGTGAGGATTTGGAGTCAGGAAGTGAGCCATGCCCTTCAGGATCTCTTTTGAGACCACAGACTGGGATGTGCTCTGCCAGCCCCATGGGGGCAACATCAACAGCATGATGGACTGTATAATGGATTTCATCATCAACTTGTGGGCAGATACAGCCGTCCCCACACACACTGTCCACTGTTACCCCAACAACAAACCCTGGATCACCAGCCAGCTGAAGAATCTGCTCAATAAGAAGCAGGCCTTCAACTCTGGAGACAAGGAAGGTCCAGTTCAGGCAAGGACAAGAAGCCTACAGCAGGAAGTTGGGACAAAACAACAAAAAACAACACCAGAGATTTGAAAGGGGATGAAGGCCATCACAGGTTTCAACATCAAAACAAAGCAGCAGGACAATAACCCAGACAGGTCAAATCTACTCAGTTTGCCTTTGAATCGTTGTTCATCCCCTGGCACAACGTCTCTTTACCTCACAGACACCCAATTGTCACCTCACCACAGACCACTCAGACGGCCATTCATCAACTCATCACCTCAGCTCCCACACCTGCCCCCACCCCCACCCCCCATCCCTAGACCCTCTGACCTTCCAGTTTACATATCAGTCCCATATTAGTGTGGATGATGGTGTCTTCTTCTGCAGCAGGCCAACTCACAGGGCTCTGTGAGAATAATGTTTTTCAATTTCTCTAGTGCCTTTAACACAATCCAGCCCTTTCCGATGTGTGAGAAGCTGCGCAGGATGGGTGTCAACTCCTCCATTATCTCCTAGCTTACCGACTACCTGTCAGACAGGCTTCAGTATGTACGAATGGGGAGCACCCTGTCTGATACTGTGGTCAGTAATGTAGGAGTCCCCCAGGGTACAGTCCTGTCGTTTCGGTTTCTGTTCACTCTGATTTCTAGTAAAGTTCCGGGTCCTGTCACCTGCAGAGGTTCTCTGATGACTCTTGGGTGTATCTGAGACAGACAGGAGCTGGAGTACAGGACAGTGGTTGCATATTTTGTGGAGTGGTCCCAGGCAAACCATCTGCTCCTGAACATTGACAAGACCAATAAACAGGTGACTGGTGCCTTCAGGAGGAAGAAGACACCAGTGGAACCCATCACCATCCGGGGCCATGAGGTGGAAATAGTCGACTGCTACAAGTACCTTGGCTTAGTAATGCTGTGTGCAAGAAGGGCATGAGTAGACTCGGAGTCTGCTGAGGCAGCAGCACCAGTACAAGGTTAGAAAAATAACAGCATTTCAGAAAGCAGTTCACACATAGTGGGTGGGCATAGAGGGTAGGAGAAAATGTGTTTTTTGCCAGTGGTGTCGACGCTTTCGCTGGTCTGAAAGCCACTCTGTTTTACAGCAGTGTCCACAGGAGGAGGAAAAGACTTACCTGTGCCAGGACCAAGGACCCAGACACAGGACATGGTCTGGACCAGCGGTGGCGCTGCAGAGTCAAGGCAGCGTTTGACGCACACAACAGCCAAGTAAAGAAAAGTGCATAATACAGGGGAACTCTACAGGATCTGCGTGTCAGGAGTGTGGTCCTGTGGTCATGCCTGTCCACGTAGCACATTAAGTATTAAGTATTAAGTGGTTTGGGCAGCTAATGACCGTTTAAATCACAAAATACTTCCCGAGCTGCATCTTCATTACTTAACAGTGGTATTTTTGTTAAAATGGTTGTAAAGAATCTCCCTGACACTTGTGACACAGATACATGTGAATTTTGTCATGTAAGTAAAACCTGTTGAACATGTACTCATGGAGCGTTTTAAATATCCTAAAATGAGAGGATGAAAGGATTACTAATTACTGAGGCTGGTAGGGTGTGGTATTTGTTGGGACTTTTTCTGAAATGGGAGTAACAAAAATTGTGTGTTCAGTACAAGCAAACATGCATGCATTAAAATGCTTTTTATCTACCTTCTTAATCCTTTAATCCTAATCTTAATCCTTTAATCTACCTTCTTAATCAAGAGTGATTAATAACCTCTAAATTATATTTTATAGTGTAGTTTTCATATCCCCCTGGGGCAACTAACACAGTCATTTCCAGTACACTGGAAATATGTAAGCTACAAGTGACCTACTTTTTATTGTTCTTGGTTCCAATTTGTCATGCTACAAAGGCATGATCATCAGGAAGAGCATCATGGTTGTTTTAACAAACTGTGTCAAACTGTGTCTGCCCTGTCCTGGCATCTCGTCCTGCAGCCGATGCGAGAATTTGTTTTGATTAATTGAATGAGTTAACATGTTAAATTTGACAGTCTTTTTAGCTATTAGTTGTTGTTTTTTTCAGTCACTTTAAAGGGACAGTCCAGAATTTTGGACATAGGGCCTCATTTCCTAGTGACCCAGAGTGTTGGAGATGTGTGGAGACACTTTTTAAATCCTTGTATTTGCAGATGTTGCACCTCTGACAAGTGGTTCAGAGGGCATATGCCTTGGTGAAGTAAGCACATTAATAAAAGAATAGACAGAGCACGTGTTGAGCTGTTTCCTTTACAACAGAGGATTGTTTCTTCCTCTGCAGTGCTCAGTCTACGCTCTACCAACGTTGTGCCATGCGCCATCTAATGGTCAGTGAAGGAATTGCATGTTAACTCAAAAGGGATAGTAGAACCACATGAATTATAAACAATGAAATAAAAATAAAATACTAAAATAAGAAAATAAAATTTGAGGGGTGTCTGATTTCTAATCTAGGTCACTGGTGCTAGGCTAGTCTTACCCACTCCAAAAAACACCTGAAACAAATCTATTATTACACCAGACTGTCCATGTGAATGTCTGTGTTGATAGAATAATGTTTGAAATAAAACTAACCTTGCATCACATGAATCGTCGGATGCTGAGGGACTATTTTGTCAGCAGCAACAGATTTTTTTTTTTTACATGCATGTGAATTTTGTGACGTAAGTAAAAACCTGTTGAGCATCTACTCATGGAGCGTTTTACATATCCTGAGATGAGAGGATGAAAGTCTGAAATGGGAGTAACAAAAATTGTGTTGAATGCATGCAAGCATGCATTAAAATGTTTTTTATCTACTTTCTACCTTCTTAATCAATAGAGTGATTAATAACCTCTAAATTATATCTTATAGTGCAGTTTCCATTAGTGCTGTCATGTGATTTAAAAAAATTGAGATTAATTAATTATGATCTGTAATTAATTAATCTAATTAATCTCTTTTTAATCTCACCTAAAAATTGCTGAGAAAAGCCCTCAACTTGAGGTATTTTCATTTAAATTCTTTATTACATTATTGTGGCAGATCAAAAGACTCATATAGAACAAAAAAAAGTGACTTTATAAAGTCATTTATTGTTTATAACTTTAACAGATGCAGTCACTTACATTCCACAGTATCATCATTATTATTACTATTACTAATCTGCGGTGTTGGGCAAGTTACTTTTTAAAATGTATTCCCCTACAGATTACAGATTACATATCCCAAAATGTAGTTTGTAACATAATCCATTAAGGTACTTAAAGTGAGTAACGTAATCTGAATACTTTGGATTACTTGATATTGTCATGCTTTTTAAAACTACATGAATGTAGCAACCACATCCTGAAAATTCTTGTCTGTTCTCTTCAAATTGTTGAGCCCAAGTCTCCATGAATAAGCAACTGTTTGCTGTAAAGTAACAAAGACTAGGAAATCTTAACATAAGATGTTTTGTCTGCTTAAAGACAATAAGAAACCCAG